ATCATGTTCGTATCTTTCATCGAGAAATAGGAGAGTCACATGAGGGAATAAATTGGATAAATATCGAGAGGGGTTTTCAATTAAATTAGTAACACTGACCAACAAAAATGATTACAAATTGTCACTTTAATTTGTTGTGCTAAAAATAGATTAACAAGGGGGATTCGATTTTATAGCAATATTTTCACATATTTGAAATCAAACCAGTTAAATTGCTTTCTAGTTTAATTGATAATTTAGATATTAGTATAGAAAACTCAAACCTTATTTGTCATTTGATTAAAGCTGCTATTAATTAGAACTCGATTGAATACATAGTTCATGTGGATTTGACACTGTACACACTACTATATTACTTAATCACGATCCCGTTCACTTGCGGGAAATCAAACGATCAAGTTTTTTACGCCGTTGCCGAGAACTACTGTTTTTGATACATTTACTTAATTTTAGTTTTAATCTGAACTTTACTTTTTTTTTTTTTAGTTTAGTTTATTAAAAAAAAAATTATAGTATTTCCTGTTAACTTTTTCAAGACCTTGTATGCGAAGTTTGAGAACCGGTGATCTTGCTTAATTTGACTCGGAGATTGAACGAACATTCAACTTTCAAAAAAGACAACAGTTGAAAACACACCAAAAATCGAAAGAGGAAGACATGGCAGGGGAAAATCCGAATCAAATAGTCATATGGACTTATTTGGAAGCATCAAAACCGAAAGTGGCTACAGCTAATGAAAATGCAAGACTAATGGAGAGTATATGGTTCCACCAGTTGTGGAAAGCCTATCTAGCATAGTATATCCGGCATTTGGTCACGCAAAGTTCCACCTGAGGACTGATGTGATCAATATGTTCCAAAACACGCTACAATTCTTTGGAGAGCTTCGGAGAATCCCAACGCTCATTATCAAGAATTCTGGAAATGTGTGCAACTATCGTGTATCCAGAGTGTCTAGTGAAGCAATAAACTTTTCCCATACTCATTGAGAGACTCAGCCAGATAATGGTTACACACTTGTGCACCTCAGAGTATCACTACATGGAACCAATTGAGTCAGAAAATGCAATGTTAGCACGAGTTACGGGATTTTGAC